TATATAGAGACAAGAGTGAAGCCTTCTTCACTTTTGTCAATTTCTTTCTTGCTTCTAGTCTAGTTTGAAGGGTCTCTAGTTTTCTTGTCTTTTGGCAATAGCCATTCTAGTTTCTCTTTCAATATACATACTTTTTTATTTATATTTTGTTACCTTTCTTTGAGTGAAGGCTCACTTGTCTGAATTATTTTTTCATCAAGTTCTTGTCCTTGAAAACCGACCAATAATGAAGCTTATTTTTGAGGTTATCGTCTATTTTCTAATTTTGATTTTATTTAATTATTTTTGTACTTGTTGTCAACTTAGTTGTTAAGAAGTGTGTAAAATTTGAATTAAAATCAATGGTTCATTCATTAGTTATTGACGTTTAAATTTGCAATTGGAATTACATGGGATTGGTTAGGATTCGGTTTAGGATTTGATTTAGGATTAGGATTTGGTTTAGGACTTGATTTAAGATTAGAATTAGGATTTTGGATTGATTTAAGATTTGATTGGAATTAAGAGTTTTTTAGAATTTGATTAGGATTTGACTAAGATTTAATTAAGACTTATTTAGGATTTCATTAGAATTTGGTTAGAATTAAGATTTGGTTAGGTTTTAGGATTTAGTTAAGATTAGGATTTGATTAGGATTAGGATTTGATTAGGATTAGGATTTGATTAAGAATAGGATTTGGTTTGATTTAGGATTTGGTTTGGATTTCTTTAGGATTTCTTTAGGATTTCTTTAGGTTTCTTTAGGATTTCATTGTATTTTTTTATAATTTATTTTAAAAATAAAAAAATTAAAATTAAATTAAAATAAAATAATAATAATTAAACTTAATTGATACTTGATTATGGTTGTTAAGCTTCTACAATAATTTTTATATGATTTTATTAGAGTAGTTAGCTCTTGTTGTTGCAAATTCTTTTTATCTTCCATAGCCAAGTGCCTAGCGCATTGTCAAGCAAGATTTCATGTAACATGACAACGGCTAGGATTTTAAGGTGGTCACTAGGTTAAGTTGAATTTAGGTTTAGTTAGAAGGGTGAAGATGTATCTGGATGAAGTCCATGTACTTTGGATATAAATTCCACCTATAAGTAAAAGGTGTTGGAAGTAAGAGACATATTACTCCACAATTCTCTTTGTATGCAAACCTTATTGATGCTAAGTGTTTGTAGCTTTTAGACTTCTTTTCTTCAATAAAGACTACAAAAGATCCAATCTATTTTAGGATTATATTTTTCTAGTCATGATAAACTTAAAATGACTAGATTAGAAAGAGATTTAATAATATTAAATGTTATAAAAGCTACTATGACTATTAATTGTTACTTCTATAAGAAATTTTTTATGAATAATATCTCTTGAAGATAATGGATGACCATCTATGACTTCTACATGAACATGTTTAGTTTTCTTTATTAAATATTTGATATGTCTTTTAGCAATTTTTTTATCTAAGAGACATATTAAGACTCTTGAATCTAACAAAGTAAAGACTTTGTAATATTTAGGTTCTAAACTAATATTTACTATAAAATAAGGAAAATATTTTGAAGAAAGAATAGGACCTTCACTAGATGTTGTACAAGATTTTAAGTGCATGGTTCCTATTATAGCAAAAAAAACTTGTTTTTCAACATACTATCTTATTTGACAATTGTACTCTTCATTTTGTAGTTGCATTGCTTCTTTAGAGAATATTGAATACTGTGCTTAGATTCTCCTCAATACAAGCACAATCCTTCCTGATGATAATAAGACTTTTTTTGCTAAGTAAGAAGTTTGAAACATATCACATTAATTTCATATCTTCTACTTTCAAATGTATGTGTTGAAGAAACATTGGTATTGCCATTAAATTATAGTAATGCTGAGGCACACTTGTGCGACTCTTAGATTGAAATTCAAAAAGTCAATTATCATACCTCATAGCAAAGTCAATTGTTGAACTTAATGTTTGAGGATCAAATAAGTTGAGAATCAATTTGTTTTACCTCATATTATAATTTGTAGAAAAATTGGCTAACAAGTGCAATATCATCTCACTTGATATCAATTGTAAGTTGTCAAAATTATGAAGTATATAATATTATTGATTGATTAGCTTGTTGTAAAATACATATCTTATTAGTTGCAACAAAAATAGCATTATGTTTTCTATATATGAATCAAAACTCTACCAAAAGAGCATCCAAATTATCCAATATTGGATCTCATCATTCAAAAAAAGATAAAAACTATGATAATGTTGAACTTAAAAGAAGTATACCAATGAATTTAAGTTGTAATCTTAAAATTGGATAGCTTTGAGATTGAAGTTCAATCATAAGTTGTACTTCATTAATAAATCTTTGAAACTTGGATCTTATACTATCAAACTTTTTGGACAATATAATCCTTGGTTCTCTTATACTAAAATAGTGTTCTACCATAAGAAAAGAAACATGATTTGGTACAAATGTTGAAGCAGCTACAACCATCTCTGTATCTTTGCTTCGTGCTATTCTTATTGATCATATGGTGGTAAATTGAATTGATGCATTACAAGTATTAACTCCTTGAATTACTTTTATATTTGTACCATTACACTCTTCATTTCAAGGAGCTTTACCATGATAATACTTAGAAAAGAAGAAATGTCTAATATCACTCAAGAAAAGTAAAAAAAAAGATTTAAGAAAAAAAAAAATGCTAAGAACAATATTAGTTTAGAAGAAGATAATCGACAACTTTTAATATATTTATATCTTATTAAGAAAAAAGAATAATCCACTCTTAATTATAAAAAGATAAAGCTCTAATATTATAAGTGTATTCTTATCAATTTATTAAGCTAAAGAACTTAATGAAGGAAAATAAATAAATATTTTTTTTTTTCAAAAAAAGAGGAAAAAAATAAGAAATTATGTGTATTTAAAAATAAACTAGAATGGCTATTGCCAAAAGAAAAACATACTAAAAATCTTTAAAATTAGATTAAAAGAAAAAAAAAGAATTGACAAGAGTGAAAAAGGCATCATTCTTATCTCTATACATATTATCTAACTACAAGCTCTATGGCAACATTCTATAGGATTCCAACACATGTCTAATTTGCATGACATATGTCTTGATATAGAAGTCAAGCTTCTTATATGTTTGCCACATTGTTAGCTTGTACCAAAAGTTATCAACACGTACAAAACATAGCTAACTTGTTGGCCAAGTATTTAACCTATCAATCACCTATGGACATGTATAAAGATGAAACTACATTTATGAAGCTTTTAAAAAGCTTTTGTATAAGATATTATTAAATTAATCTACTTTTATTTACTTCTATCTATTTATATTATCTAAATAATTATTAAAGTAAATATATATATCTATAAAAATATTTATATATGTATGATTGTATGTATGTATGTAAATATATATAAAAAAACCAAAGAAGGATATTAAGTGAATGGTTTTATTGTGCTATGTAAAAATTAACTTGCAAATGTATTGGGCATTTGATTGTAAAAGAATTTGATCTTACAAATTGAAAAAAAATAATCCTAATCTACATAGGTATTAGCCATCTTCCTTCTCCAACCTTAATGTAATCCTTCAAACACCAATATCTCATTGAATTATTAACTTATTTTCAATTTTTATTTTTATTTTTATTTTATTTTTATTTTTTTGTTTTTTTTGCATATATATCAAAGATTTACTTAACTATCAGTATGCAAAAAAAATTATTCTAGTCTAATTGGAAAATTTCTTAAAATTATAAAACCCTCATTGACCTTCAAAACCTAATTTTTAAAACCCTACTTCACTAGAATCTCAATTATTTTTGACCTAAGCATCTAATTAAGCTCAATTTCACAACAATTATGTTAATAAATCCATAGTGTTGTAAAATTACGCTTAATTGGAGAATTCGATCAATACAACTACATTGACTAATCTACAAAACTGCACCTATAGATCTACTATCAAACTTATAAAATTTACCAAAATGCAATCTCTTTTTTATTTAATACAAAGCAGTATCATCAAAAACAACCTTGACTTTGCAAAGCTCTCACAGAGTCATTGTGCACTCAAATCTCTCAAATATAACTCTTAAAAGAACCATAGCAAGTCTTTTTTCAAACAAAACTTTTTGATGAATAAAAGAACCTTACATTTGTTGCAAGTGCATGTTTTTTGCTTTAGGATCTGGTTTTAACCTTGGTTCTTAACTAGCTCTCTTTAGGTATCAATCCAGTTTTTCTACATAATTTTTTGCTAAAAGATGATTAAAATTTAAAATCTTTGTAAAATGCAAAAGACCACTTTGGATTTTTCTACTTTACAAAACTATAATTTGAGATGTAGTGCACTTTAAAGTTTATCATGAAATTTTGGGTAGTATTTGTTGTACTACAATCTGTACAAAATTTAATATTTTTTAAACTTCATAAAAACATTACTGTAATCCAAATATTCTTAAAGTGGTTTAATTTTATACATTATAAATTTTACCCTGACAATTATTCCTATGATTGTTTGGTAATTTTCCTGCTTGAATTGCAACATTTCTTTAATTAAATTATAAATTTTTCATCATAAATGTGATAAGATCAATTCTTCTTCAACATAAATGAAAAGAAAAGATTCAACCATCAGTTTTTCCTTTATTTCTCAGCTTCTAAATCTCTCATGCACTCAAATCTCTTTAATCAAAATGCAAGCAACTGTTTCATCACATTCAGTTAATTTTACTAGTAATCGCTGCTTCTGCGAGCTCTCAAGTTTCCCCCCTTAACAAAATGTACATATATATACACATCAACATAGAAATGGTAAGATCTTATTGTGGTATACATCCTGTATCATTTTGCAAGGGCTCCATAACATGACTGCAGTAACAACAGTGTCCATGTCACGTAAACTGGGGTAACAGCGAAGAAGCAGAACAAAATAAGGCATCAAAAGACGTAAACATTACACCAACATTAGCTATGTTTAAGTCGGAAATTGCAATATGTCGTTGAACAAACAGCTTCACCGAAAAAGTGCTTTCCAATTGTCATCAATAAATTCAGTAACTGATATAATGTCATCTGCTGGTATTTACTAACGTGCGAGATTAATTTCCCACACACAAGCGCGATCTCTACTATAATAACAGCACATACTTGTACAACGTGGAGGTAGACGAGGGTTTTCTAGCACTTGTAACAAGCCCTACAGAAACTCTAGTGTAGACAATTCTATGTTAGATTCCATCTGACAGGTAAGATTGCTCACAACTGCCCTTTGCAATACGTATCTTTACCTCCTCCTCCTCCTCCCCAAGGTTTCTGAATTATCATAAGATGCTTCATTTCTTAGCTTTAGAAAACCTTAAACAACGATACTTTTCCCCACTGACGGTAATCTCCAGCGCACCATCCTGATTATCCAAGCTGGATGCTGTTCCCATGAGCACACTCTTTTCCTTCTCCAGATTCTCTCGCTCAAATCGTAGCCGCGTCTCTTGCTTTATGACCTCAGCCTGAAACCATAAAAGCGTTGCATAAGCATATCTTTCAGTTCACAAAATTCTGTAAACAAGATGGCTTGGCTGAGCTAGTCAGAAACGTGGTAATCAACTCAAATTGCATACCAGCAAACAATTGGTCAGATCACATAAAAGTCTTCCTGAAACTGGCACCAGAGTCAGGACTGATGAACATACCTCTCTTCTACTAAGTTCCGCTTTCCAGGCAGATTCTCTTTCCGCGACATCTCGCTCCCTCTCCTCCAAATAGCTGTTCATCTCCCTTTCTTTCATGATGCGGTCCTGGATGTCAATCTCTAACGCTGCCTTCAAATCCCGTACAAAAGTTTCTACAACAGCCTTGATTCGCAACATTTCAATAGCAGTACTCTCGCTGGCGATGCCTTAAGTTGCTTCTTTTAACTAAGCCACATAAAAAATCTTCATTTGTAAAAGTAGTAGTTGCTCGCACGAAATTAGTGCAACATACACAGCTTCATAAGGGCAGCATACAATAGAATACCATGGTTTTGCAAAGTGTTCCAAATGAATTTCCAACTAAAACCAGAATCCCACTTAGTCATGCCAGCTACCATTAAAGCAAAATGCACAACATTCGACGCGTTGTTGTGAGGCTTGTATAGTGGCCGAATTGAAATGTACACTGTTACATTGCACACAGCATACCACTTTACGTGAGTATTGAGCTGTTGCACTAGCCAACAAGCAACTCCAACCTTAGGCAACTGGTGACATTATTCAATAAAACCCAACCCTAATTCACAAAACTACAATTCGCTCAATATGAACTCTAGTTCACAGTCCTTCGTCATGCTCCTCCAAATGCACACGCTCGAAGTCCCTGCAAACTCGTGACTACATTCACAACATCAGACACATCTAAGAAGCACCACGGGATTTTAGAATCTAAAAACTCACGCAATCCTGGCGATTTTCGAAATTCTTAAAATCAAGTTCTATGTACATCGAGGAGAAAGGATGGAAAGCTGCAAGACAAGGCTCTAAAAACTGACATAACTCAGCTCTGAAAGAGACATCAAACCACAAAACCCTACGCCATCCTATTTATCCTCCACGTTTTCCCTACACAGAACCCTTGAATACCCTGCGACGTCTTTCCGAACCAGATCAATACCTGACAACAAGCTGAGTCTACTGTTCGATTCAACCACACCGAGATGCACCCACATATACTCCTCCAGCAAGGAGCACACCTTCGACAACGAGCCCCTCTTCCTCTGCCTCATCCTCATCCTGCCATCGTCTCCGACTCAACGAAAAATCCCAAGTCACTCACCTCCAGCTCAAAACAGCGGAACCTATCAGATCACGAGGCACAAACAAAAGGCAAAATCAATAGCTGAGGAGAACTCCATCGATCCCGCAACAAAAATCTTAAAAATCTGCCGTGTTTGGTCCAGTTACTTACAGGGCCGGGTCATCATAGGTTCCGTGCCCCTGGTCCCGCCCAAGGCCGAACCACTGGAGCCCATTCCCCCATACATTTGCCAGATCCCCACACTAACTAACACAACGGTTACTCTTCGTGTTGGGAGCTTTTGTAGAGCATGTGAGTCAATGGAATCTGATTGCGTAGCAGAAGGCAGGTCTGAGGATCGTAGCTGATATTTTATTGCAACTTGCGTCATAATCTCTGACGAATGAGCTCAACCGTTTTTGCTATAAATAGCTTGCAATCATGTAGCGCTTCTAAATACGCGACTAGAGTTGTCACATTCGGAAGTTCGTGCCCAATGGCGGTTGACCGGAGGCTACCTGAGAATGATTGCTACTTCATCTCTAATCCTTGCACTGCAATCTAAACCTACTCCAAAACTGTTCTACATCCCTGCTAACTGGGCATGTAATTTGTTGGCAGGATGCACTGCAGATCACACCAATGTGACTCGGAAACTGGGTCAAGTCGCATGAACTGTAAGATTCACTAAATGCTAAGAGATAAAACATTCCGACGGGCACCTGTCGGATGTCGTTGAGAGATTTTGAGAGTGGAAGCACCGAAAGAAAACTCATGATGGCAGAGGGCAGATGGCATTGAGGAGGACGTGACATAGCATGATATCCACAAAGTAATAGTGATGGCCGTCTGGGGGACGGCCATAGTGACCGCCGTCGCTGTAGTTGTTGTTGTAATGAAATGGAAACGTCATGTCGAAGTCGTCCACGAATCCAACGTTGGGGAAGCGCGATCTCACCTTCTCGGTAAGGATCTTGTTGAAGACTTCCATCTTGTGTGGATTCCCCTTCATGGCTTTAGATAATCCAGCGGGAGCTACAGTGGTCCGATACACCATTAGCGGCGGCTCTCCTGTCACGTTTCCTAGAACATTGCCCCAATATTCCATAGCGTTGTTCGCCTTCCTTGCGAAATTGGGGATGTTGAAATGCCGCACACCATCGTGCAACCCAGAATTCAGAACTATGGTGTCGGGGTAGTCGTTCCCTTTGAAGAATTCCGCGACGTAATCACGATAAGCTTGGTTGTCCAACGCGTCCAAACCTATTCCATTATAGTCCACCAACTCGTGCCCGTTAAATACATTCGTTAGGCGGAATGATTGGTTTGGATTGTTAGGATTTCGTAAAAAATTCTGGTAGGCCCGATCAATCTGTAACTGATCGACCCTGTGTCTTCCAAGCGCTGGCATAATGCCGAGGACAAAGTACAACAGGTTTCGGAGTGTGTCTTGGTGGTTGGAGTCACCCCAGAAGAACAACCAGCGCCCGTCCAGACAGTCCCACGCTTCCTGAAGCTCAAAGATGTGAAAGGCACAGTGGGCGGAGTAGGACCATCCCAGGCTTTCCAGCCTTGACAAATTACCGGAGCACCAGCTTGGATTTCTGCAGGAGATACTTGAATCAGAAAAGCAGTGTTTATATCTACCTATATGATCAGGAAGGCAGGAATCGTTATCCATGGGCCGAGTCCACCGCCCCGACCATTCCGGACTCACAAAATCCGTGGGTCCACATCGCTTCAAGTTAGCCAGATTGTCAGTATCTGTAGTGGGTGTCTGCTGCGTCGAAGCAGTGGCCTGAGAAGAGTACTTTGCAGCAAGGTCGGCTTCGGTAACGAAGTGCAAATGGAGGAAGACAGTTTGTTTGTTGATGAACCATTTTTCGCCATCGAAGTCAACTCCATGATAAGCGTCGTAAAGCAGGATCACTGTGAGGTTGTACTGTCCGGCGAATGCGTCGGAAACCAAAAATTCCACTTGGTAAGTGCCGTTCTGCATGTCCTTAGTGGGTGGACGCGACCTCCACAAAGAGTTGGAGAGGTCCACTTCGTAGTAATCCCCGCCTGCACAACGTGCTTGCCCGGCGCTGTTGAGAGATTGCAGCCAAAATCTGTGCACAACGTTTGTCGGCAGGAAGATGACATCCGCAGTCTCTGGCAATCCGATCACTTTTGTGCGGTTTGTGTGTTCATCATAGCAAGGCCCAGATCCGTTTCTCGCCAGCTCATCGATGATCATTCCAGTGATGTTCAGAAATGGTACTGTTGCAGTTGGGAAGTGATGTCCTGAAATGGTCTTATTGCTTCCAAGCGTTGGCAAGCTCAAGGGTAACCATGCAGCAGCGTTGGGTCCGACGACGACAGTTTGAGTGTAGAATAGAACGAGTGAAATTGCTAACATTGTGACTCCCACAGTCACAAAAGGTCCAGTCAACTGCTGCCGTGACCCTGCATGGAGTAATCCTGACTTGGTCGAAGTCGGCGCATACTCCTGCTTCATGTCTGAAGGTTGATACGTCAACCGCAGGATTTACGAGTAGAGAAATCACTTGAAAATCGATTCGCGTAGATGTTTGAAAGTATCTTGCAAGCTCACATCGAAGTTTACAGTATTAGCTGTAGGACGTCGCAGTCGGTGAGTGCCTTTTGATCAAATCACGGAGACACTCGGAGACTCAAATCTCCTCCGCAATAGTAAGACGAAAATCAGCTCGAGTATAAACAACAGACAAACCTCTTTATGCTCTTGAATAAGAATGCAACATCATGCGAATGGCTGCGCGGTGTCCACGAATCTCATTGGCTTTGAACAATCTTTCCTCCTCCAAGTCGCAAGCAATCACAAAATCTGCGGCACCAAAACCCCCCGTTGCAATAAGCAACCTCGGTCTCGCGCAGGATATCGACAGCAGACGACCATTGCAAACTGTTGCAGCAACCCAAGAAGAATGCGATGCGAATACCTAAGGAAGCCTAGTTCAAAATCCTTATTGCCGCGTCCTGTTCAGCTTCCCTCTGATGAATGTGAAGACTTATCCTGTCCAGCTTGAAAGTAGTAAACTAAACTCCGAAAAAACACTCTTAAATTGCTTTCTAACATTCGGAAAGCAGAGACCGAACTAAGCAGTCACGGCGTGATCGACTGTCATTAAGGCGCATTCTGTCGAAGATGCTGTAATCAACGTGATCTACACAAATGTCCGTTGATAAAAAATATCATAAAAAAAAAAAAAAAAAAAAAAAAAAACGCTTGTTGTTACGACAATCTGTTTCGGCGACATGGACACTTTCTTGCGCACCACTTACTGGATACCCAGTGCTACGGAAGGAGCAAGCATGTTGAAACTGTCCAGGCATGTACAGTTTGGACATGCTGAATAAATTCCTTCCGCACTGAACCAACGTCGTCGGTTATGGTACTGTGCCTACGTGCAGTGAAGTTCCTCACATCGGAGATATCATTTATATATTATGTGGTTACCGGATAATTGTTTTGCTAAAACGACTTCAAAACAGAATTTGTCCGATAGTCGGAAAGCGGATCCCTAGTGCGGCGGTTACTGCAAAATAGCGGGTCGATCATCTTCCGCTTGAACAGCACCCACGTCGTCAAGACGCTATTTTTCCGTCACAACTCTGCACATACTGTTGGAGTTCATGCAGCATGGGACTATGAAGGTAAATTCCAAATCTGTTTGACTCTAAAGTGCTACCCAAACATTTAGGCACCAGTCGGTTCCTGCACTGCATGCCACGAATAGCACAAGAGTTGCAGAAACCCTACGGATCCCTTGAATAGGTGTCCATCGCGTTTAATAGCTGATTCCATAACGCGAACTGCGAGGAGCGCTAGAGATTTCTTTAAATAACCACCCTTTCTCAATTGACCCACGTAGGGAGAAAGAAAAAGAAAAAGAATGTAATGGGTGAGCCGACGTGAAACGTTTCAGCGTGAGTTTCATTTCCGGGTCCTCACACGAGCGATACCACTATCGATTTTTTCCTCTTTTTCTTGATGTGGGTTTTGGAAGTGCAAGAAACGGTGCGCATAAGCGAGACGCTTCGCGAGCGACTGAGTGTGTTAGTGTGCGTTAGTACCCAGTGGCAACGAGCACTGCTATTCTCAGAAGCTATTAGCAAACACACACGCTCACATAAATTCACGAAGAAACATATACAGATCGTGCAAGGCTCCCAGCACAACCGGGCCCGATAAAGAGATGGACGCAGAACAACGACAGGTTACCAAATCCCGGAGAATTCAAGCACATTATTTTAGTGCAAATACGAAACTGTGACAATTCTGGAATGAAGCCTGCTTACACCGGCAATTGGGGATCCAATGAAGTATCAAAGAATGTGTCTATCCATACATAGATGATTCATGGATTACTTTGCATTTCTCTTTAGCATTAATTATTTTGTAAAACTTAAAAGTGCTTGCTCAACATGGTTCAATTTAGAATGGACATTTTACAATACCATATAAAAATAGATTTTGTCACAAATTATGAAGCATTTATGTTGGCTTGTAGGAAGCTTTGCCTGGAGGATGTTTGCTTGGAGGAGGTTTGATTAATTTACAGTCTTAACCAGTTGTGAATAGTTTATTGTTTCAAATAATAAAATGGAAGAAATGCTGGCTTATTTCTATTTAAAAATACTAAAATAAGGATACTTGATATCTATGATAACATTACATGTGTGTGTGTATATATATCTATATAAATATAAATATATATATATATATATATATCAATCAATCAATCAAAGGAAACACAAACACACTTGTGTTTGTTGTTGAGACAATTGAAAACGTATTATTAGCAATTTATTGTTTAGAATATCCAACATAGATTGAGAGTGATGTTATCACTAAAGTCTCCTTTTTTGGTCAAATTTAGATTAATTATGTAGTCCAAGTCATACTCTATAAATAGATATTCCAAATAAATCATCTATATAAATAGATTTTAGATTTTAATTAAAATTTAAAATTTCTTTATAAAAAAATTATACATAAATATATATATATATATATATATATATATATATATTTTATATGTTGACAATGTAATCATTTTCAAAGTTCTAAAGTAAATATGAAATAATATGAAATAAAATCATCATATAAAATAAAATTTATTTTTTCTTCTAAAACTATCTAAATTAAAAAGTTAAAAAGTTAATTTTATAAAAAGATATGTTATTTATATTGGAGCTATGTTATTTTTAAAGTTAATATATTATTAAAGCTAATATATTTTTTCATCTAATTTTTTCATATATATATATATATATATATTCATATTTATATATGACTTATTTAATTTTTATTTCAAATTATAATTTTATCTTTGATTAAAAAAATTAAGTATAAGAAGTATTGAACAAATATTGTAAATAAAATAAACATAGTTATATTTTTTAAAATTAAAAATATAAACTTTTATATTTCATCTTTAATTTAAATTTTTACAAAAATACATTCAATCTAACATGTGTTCAAAAAATATACAAGAAAGTTGAATATTTTATGCCTAAATATCACAAATTATTTAAAAAAAATCAATTAAAATATTTTTTAAATTAAAAAATATATTAAATTTAATAATAACATTGATGAAAAGGTTTTTAAGATTCTTGAGTAGCTTCCATGTCATGTCTTAGATATGTAATTAGACATGAGAGCTATTGGCTTCAATATGTAATTAGACATGTCAAAAATTTTAGATAAGATTATCAAAAGTATCAAGTTATAGATGATAATCGTAATTAACAAAAAAGAATTTTTGTTGAATAGAAGAATGTACCATATTATTATAAGCAAACTTTGCCAATGGCAAAAAAGTTGTTTAATCATCTTGATAGTAATTGATGGTACACCTCAAATATTCACTAATAAAAAATAGAACATGTTATAATATTTACAAGCAACATTATGGCTCAAATGTTCAAAATAAGCAATGTTTTTTCATAGAAGAAAGAAAGGAAGAAGAGAGAAGAAAACAATCTACAAGTCGCACTAGTTACTAATATTTAGAATTTAATGATGAGTTCTTATATTACTATAATCTCAAGGATTTGATACTTTACGTCTATTATTTATTTATTTATTGTTATAGAGAATAAGAGCAATTTTTAATCCACCCTAACAATATTTTCTAAAGAGAGCGCATGAGAGGAATTTTTTTTTGTTGTAAGAAGTATGCAAAGAGCCAACAACAGAAGTATATATCTACCTTAAACTACCACCAATTATACATCTATTATAATCTACCACCAAATATATATCTACCCTAATCTACTACTAAGTCTACATCTATTTTAATCTACTACCAAGAATATCAACAACAAAATCAAAGGAGCAAAGAAGAATTATGGTAGATTAGGATAGTGGAATGGCTTTGAAATGACTAGCACTATTGCTACTTTATTTGGACATGACAAGAAGCGATGTTCTTTTACAAAATTATTAGAATATAATTGAAACATATATATAGTAGTATGAAGTAGGTACTAAAAAGTGAATAAAGTGAAGGTTTCTTGAACAAAAAATTGAAAATAAATTGAAAATAAATTGAAAGTAAATTGAAATATAATATAAGAGTAAAGATTTTAGACTTGTAAAGTTGATACTATTGCTATATATTTGGTTCTTACAATCTCATTTCATACAATTTTAATAATATCTATCCAAAATGAAGTAAGGTATTATCTTTCAATACTCTCAAGTAGACAAACACTTACTTAACTTCAACGATATTAACATGCAAGTTATCTATGATCCATCAATGAATCCTTGAAATTAACATACTTATATGATTATCATGTAATATAAAAAAAGATGAACATTATAAACCTAATTTAAGATATATAAAAAAAAAATTAGTTACTTTTCTAAATACATGATACTACAATCAAAGAAAAACTTATATTTTCTTACTTACTTCCAAATTCACTTATATCTACTACATTTTCTTCAAATTTTTAAAAATTACATTGTAAAATTATTTCTTCATTCACCTCTACATTGTCATCCAGCTCAACTTTGTAATTACTTTTATTATCTTTTTTTTCTTAAAAATCTTTATATTCATCATGTGAATTTATCTCCTTATCAATAAACTCTGCAACCATTAGATTGTTGTTGATATTAAAATAATATCATAAACATGAGCATCATGCATATTAATGTCATAGATATTTGTATTAAGGCTTTATGATGTAATATGGCTAATAAGTGAAAGAATGAAGAAATTATTATATTTTAGAAGGTCTTATTTCAAAATATTATACCAAATTATGTTATAAATATAGATAATAGTCAAAGGATAGTAAATTAAAAGTACAAATTCTGATTTTTTTGTAAAGTAGGCTTCTACTTACTTTGTAGGACTATAAATAAGGCAAAACAAGATAGATTAGAAAAATAAAAGATATAGGCATATGTAGAAAGAATTTAGGAGTTGATTTTAGCAAAAATTACCTCAAGAAGACAAAAATTGATATCCAAAGAGGACCGGTTGTCAACCTAGGTCAAAAACAAACCTCAAGGTATAAAACTACATACCTATAGTGTTTCTAGGATTCTTTTGCAAATCAAAGAGTGAAATTTGGGAGAAGAATTCACAAGATTCTTGAAGCAATGGTTTTGAGCAATATAAGCTTGTAATGAGTTTGTAAGAACTTTGCAAAGTCATGGTTGTTTTGGATGACTTTGGATTTTGTGAAATAAAATAAGATTTATAATTTGAATAATTTTATAAATTTTGTAGTACATCTATAAATAAAATTTTATAGAATTTTATGTATATTTATACTAAATATATGTTATAAATTTGAACTTAATCAAATATTTGGATTAGAGGTTCTTGAAGTTCAAGTAAATTTGGATCTCAAAAATTAGATTTTTAGGTTAAATAAGGTCATCTAAGATTTGCAAAAATTTTCCAATTGGATTGAAATGATTTTTATTAGAGCGAATGGTTGACTTGACTTCCAACACTTATATAAAATTTGAGAGTAAATTGAAAATTCAATTAAGAGTTATTGTTGCTAGAAAATCAACATTAAGATGAAAGATAGAGGCTAATTAACATTTGAATAGATTATGAAATTTTTCTCTCATTTTGTAAGTCCAATTTTCTTCAAATTTTCTATGGTTATTATCAACTAAGAAATTAAGAGGTGTGTTAAATTTAAATA